GGCAGGCGGATTGGGGTAGTTAGGGGGGGGGGGGGGGGGGGGGGCGTGTCTGCCTGCTGCAGTGCAAATGCATCTCCTGCTCGGCTATATGTACTATCACCTACAGCAGTACGAGGAGAACCGCCCCTGCACCTCATAGGGACACGAAATGAAGCTGACGAACTAGCGACCGGCGTTGTTGTCGTTGTCGTTGTCTTTGTCACATCGTTGCCTGCTGCGGCTCATGCGTGCTCCAGGATGAGGTCCGACCTGGCGGAAGGGTTGTCGGACTTCCGACGGGAGGTGAGTAGACTATCTGCTGTATTCCTGCCTTTTGGGCAGGCTTGTCAGACGATATTTGGCGGCGTTCATTTTTCTCTTTTACATGGAGCACTGGGAGCGCGGTACGAAATAGTTTCTTGATGCACGCAACCGATGCGAAGTGCTTCTCGTCCTTGCGCGGAGCCCTGTTTTCGTTGCTGTTGGTAGGAGGACTGCTGACCAACTTCCGCCAACGGGTGGGACGCCACGGTTTGCACGACGCGGACCCGTCACAGGTCGAACAGAGGCTACCGACAAGCAGGGCAGGATTCGAAAACTTGTGGCAAGCACGCCTTTGGTACAGGCAGCACTCTCAAAAGTGCCTTGACACCAACGACATCAACAGCAGTCGCTATTTTACCAGCAGCAGTGGCAAGAGCAGCGGCAGTATCGCCCTTGTCCCCGCTCGGAGCTGGCGTTAGTTGTGTTTTGTTTTTCGAGGTCGTGATCGAGGTCGTGGTTAGGTTAGATTAGGCTAGGTTAGGCTAGGTTCAACACCCACCTGCCAGTCGCTAGTTGTTGGGTGGCGTGGCGTCCTCCATCCATGGACGCCGTCTCATGAATTTAAGCGCAACATCATTGACGCGTTTGATTTGGTCGGAAACTAATTATTTCAGGTCAAGGCCGTCCTGGATACCGCGTTGTGCGAGACGGACACCCCTCTGGCTGTCGGCGATCTCCGACCAGGCGACGCACCAGGGCCACGTTCGGTGGGCACATACTTTGTTGTGTTCGCGCATACTAAAGACATGGCGATGTTGAAGCACGCTGTAGGTCCGTACGGAAACCAGCTACACAGAGACGGCGATGTAATGGTAGCATGCTGTAGCTGTAGTTGCGGCATCAGTGGCAGCAAGAAGGCAGGTGTAGCAGCATGCCAACAAACAAGAGCGGTCGTGCGGCATCGGCGGTGAGAATCGTCGCTTTGTGCCACACGGCTGAGCCCTTGCTCGTCGCTCTAGTATCACAACAAACGACCTCTAGTAGCAAAATGTGCCTCTAGGGATAAACCCCTGGCGCTTGTTTCGTCTCCATCTGCCGGCTGGGTGGGCAGGCCCCAAACCCGCGTACCAGCCGCGGAAATGGCGCCAAGTCCGCATCGCATCGGGTCGGAACGGTGGACGGAACGGTTGCCAACGACATGAGCGCGGTGGATCGCGAGCTGGCCCTACTGGAGCAGTCCAACGCGGCCTTGTTTGCGGCGCTCGCGCAGACTCGGGCGATGCCCGCTAGCCGACTACCGCCGGCGCTCGATGGTGAGAGATGCCTTGCCAAGGGGGGAAGGAGGGGCAAGAGATGGACAGGGATGGGGGATGGGGTCGGGGGAAGCGGAATCCGGTTGCAGTCGCTAGGGGTGAGAGAAGGTATTGGGCTCATTCTGTGGAGGTTGAGGCAGGGTGTGATTCGGGCACGGGGAGAGGCCAAGGGTGTACCGCTGTCGAACGCTGACGGAAGCGCCGTTCTTGGAAGCTACGGTTACCATCAGGGGGGGATCGGTCGATTTTTGTTAGGTTTCTCGATTGGGCCGAGCGGATGGCGCCCATCAGAACATGGTCCGTTTGTCATCTGCACCGACGTTGGGCCTTGCAAGAAGCCGTGTACACACGTCCACGCTCAGCTCACTCCCTTAGCTAGACTTGGTCGTTGTTGTTGTTATTGTTCCCGTCTTTTTCAGCGAGGATGCGCTCGGTGGGGGCACGAGAGGAGGCCAGAGACGCGGCGCGACTCCGCGAGGCGGCGGAGATTCAGGAGCGAGAGCGGCGGCGGAGGCTGGAGAAACACCAGCTGGTGGAGCGGACGCGGGACCTGAAGCAGACGGTCTCTGAGCTGGAGAGGCAGGTAAGGCGGTGAGGGGGCTCCGCGTTGCGCATGGTATCGCGTGGTATACGTGTCCGTGCGAGGCGTGTCTCCTCCGGGGTGCTTGATCGTGTAGTTGTTTCGTGTTTCCTTTCCGTTGTTTCGAGAAGGAGGAAGCTCTCACGATGGAGGAGATAGGAGAGAGAGATGGGTTTTGCTCGCTTGTGTGGATAGGGTGTAGGTGTGAGCCAGTGAAGTCCTTAATTGTAGTCTCAAGTGCCGAATGGCAGGAAGGGAGCGTCCGTGCGCGATGCTTGAACACGCCTGCCGAATAGCACAAGTGCAGAAGTGTTTGTTTTGAGCGTCGCGCACCCGAACGATACGGCCGAAACCGAAAAATCAGAAAATGGAGCTGAACAAGAAGCTGGCGGAGAAGAAGAAGCGGCGAGATCTGCGCGAGGCTGAGTCGAGGCGACGCGAGGAGAAGCGAGCGAGGGACGAGGAGGCCAAGGCGCTCCGCAAGCGGATGGGCTCCAGCGTGAAGGAAGCCGACCGCCTGCGGGCGAAGCTGAGGGACAGGGCGGAGCAGACGGGGCGCGCGCGGGCGCGGGAGGCTCTCTGGAGGTAGGTGACGTTTCTGCTTGGACTTGCACGTAGGTGACGTCACGCTTTGCTCTTTACAAGTGTTTGTAGTTGAGGTTGCTGCTAAAACTCCCCGGCTACGTAGTGTTTTCTATTTTCTATTGTCGCCGTGAATAGTCGACCCCGCTTGGTTGACACACATATGTTATTTCAATGCAGACGAGTGTGACTTCTCAATGCAGAGGAGTGCCTTCAACGCGAGTCTTCTTCACAAGAGTGTCTTGGATGTGTTCACGACTACTACGCTCTAGTTCTGCTTGTATTACCATTGGTAATTTTGAGTGTGTGGTCTCCAGGAAGGGGTTGCTTGTGATGTGCAAACACGTTGCTCACGATAGCCTTGCCCTTCGGTGTGCTCTCCTCGGCCGATAGCGAAAGGGCAAAGAAGCGCTCCTCCGCGCCTCTGCGCCCTCTCTGTTGCCGTGCTGTTATTGTTCTCCTCCGCTGTTGGCACTGGTCGTGTCTGGAACACAATCCGCAGCACAGCATGGGCAGCAAATAGGACAACGTGCATGGTATCGTACCATGTCAGCACTTGGCTTTGTGACGTGAGCCGTGGCCTACTCCGTGCTCGGTTGGTTGTGGTGTATGCGACACTGGCCGTGACGCTTGCGTTACCATCACAATTTGGAGGAAACGTCGATTGTTGCTCGTTTTGGTGACGGCATAAAAGCTGGAGGGGGAAGTGGGGCAGCTCGACGGTGCGTCGTGCACCATACCCGTTTCTTGTCCTCGAGCCTCGCCCAGTGAGTTCGCATTCTTGATCCTCTCGTTCCCTATTCTATAATGATAACATTCGCGGTAACATTGTGCTAAACGCAGATGATGCCCCTCGGACTTTTTTTTTTTTTTTGCCGGCAGGTGGCGGGCTCACGCTGCGGGGGCTGTGGCATCGCGCGAACGCAGGGAGCGCCTCGCGGCGGAGCAAGCCATGGCCGCGTCCTCTACAACCGCAGCGGCGGTGGCGGCGGTGGCGGCGGCGGCGCCAGGTGGTGGGGCAGTTGTTGCGGAGAACGGTGATGCCCGGAACGCCCGACGGTCCGATCTCGCGCGGAACGACCGCGGCGATGACGAGGCCGCCCGGCGCCGCGACAACGGAAGGGGGAGAGCCGTCGGGGCCGTGACCACTCTCTTAGCCCCGAGCGCCGACTACCAAGGAGTGTACGGCGGCGGCAGCAGCGGCAGCAGCGGCTGCGGCGGCAGCAGCGGCGGCGGTGGCAGCAGCGACGGCGGCGGCGGCATGGGTGGCCACACCGCGGGGTACGGGGAGGGTCAGCTTGGTTCGAGACCTCCGATCGGGCGGCGGGGGCGTGGTGCGGATCCTCACGACATCGTTGGAGCCACGCCTTTCTTTGACGAGGTTTCGGCCGCCGCTGCTGCTGGCGCTGGCGCCGCCGGTGCCGGTGCCGGTGCCGATGATAGTTCGACGGCGGCCGCTCTGGCCACCTCGGTTGAGGCACCGGCTCTGCGGCAGGATGCGGCGCACCAGGCGGCAGCAGTGGCGGCCTTGGAGCAAGATCAACGGGAACGCGCGCGGGGCCGGGCTCCCGCGATGGAGGTTGTCACGACTTCGGGACAAGCCACGGGCATGAGGCGCGAGCGCCAGGAACCATCGGGCAGAAGAGTTTGGCTTGATTCTCCTCCTCCTGCCGTTACTAGTGCCGCTGCCCCGTCCGTTGGTGCAGCAGCCCCCTCCCGCGTAGCCCCGGAGAGAAGAACCGAGCGCCTGCAGGCGGGGGCGGCGGGTATCAGGGCGTCGATGGGTGCCGCTACTGCCGCCAAGGCCGCGGCGGCTACGACTGCCGCCACTGCTGCTGCGGCTACTACTGCCGCCACCGCTGCGGCAACCGCCACCGCCGAGGCCGACGACGCCGCGAGGAGGAGCTGGGAAGCGCAGGAGCAAGAGCTGCAGCTGTCCAGGCTGTCGGCGGAGAGGAGCCAGCTGGAGAGGCGCGTGCAGGGTGCCGCTCAAGCCGCCGCTGCTGCTGCTGCGGCTGCTGCTGCTGTCGAGCGAGGTGTGCTATTTTTGACGCATTGCTGCCGTGTTCAGTATGTGATGCTGTCGTTGCTGTTACGCACGCTTTAACGGCATGAGTCTGTCCTAACCGCGTCACCCCGGAGCAGAGTAGCTTTGAGCAGAGAGGATCAGGCTTGGGGGGCGTGGTGTGTATGGCACTCGGTCAAATGGGACAACGTGCGCCACAAGCACTGAATCAGCCTGCGCCGAGTTGGCGAATCTGTTTTTACAGAATACCTCAACGAGCACCTTGTAAAGAGTTGAAGCCCAAAGCCTGTTCACTTGATGGTTGTAATATTACTCCTCACCCGAGTCGCAAATGCCCGCCACTCCCAAGTGGGTCCTCGTCGCCTGAGAACAGATGCACGAAATTCGCGAAGCGTTTCCCTTCGCATCGTGTGCACGCACAACGCTCATATCGCTTGATACCCAATGTCCCCCGACATGTCTGTCTCGTACCCGTTTTCTGTCTAAGTTCTCCCCTTCCCCTACACCTGGCCTCCCCCCCCCCCCCCCTAAAGCTGAAATTGCAATTTCCAGTAAGCAAACTGGACCTGCCAAAACGGAGGAAGAGGTATACCAGCCGTAGGAGAAAGGAAGAGGAGGATAGACACACATGTCCATGTGGCAAATCGGAGGAGAGTAGACCCCCCATAGTTGGGGAGTGTGAGTTGTACAGGAAGGGAAGAGAGGATCTCGAGGAGGAAATGAAACAGAGAGGGTGTGACATGGACAAGTTTGGTAAATTAGACAACAGCGAAAAAACGATCGCGATAATTGGGGATAGATGGTGGGCACAAGAGGCCCTAGAGGACGGGGATAAGATGTGCAAGAAATTTTTATGTAGTTTGTGGCAGAAACGTAAAGAGCTCCCAAATGTTGGTGTGTCTCTAGTAGGGGTAGGAACGGTGCTCCGTCTCGAAAGGGACGCGTGGTCAATGGTCAAATGACTAAGGCAAGCAACAAATGAGTAACGCCCCCCCCCCCCCCCCCGGCCCCCCGTAACTGGCCCGGAAAAACAATTTTTCTCCGTTTAATAATCAAAATTTCAACTCCCACGGGAACGGGAGGAGCAACAACAACAACTGGAACAAAAAAAAAAAAAAAAGCGGGGGTGGGGGGGTTAGCAAAGGGTGGACAAAAAATTTCAAAAAAAACATTTCCAGGAAGGGGGGGGGGAACAAGAAGAAGAAGAAGAACAACAACCACAACAACCCCACCACCAAAGGGCGCAACAACACCGGGAACGGGAGCAAGAAAAACGGGGGGAGGAACACCCAAGAAGGAAAGGGGGGGGGGGGGGACCCAACGGCAAAAAAAAAAAAGGGGGTAAATAATAACAAAAAAAAAAAAGTGGAAAAGAAAACAAATGGGGGGGTTCCGCGAATAAAAACAAGA